GTCTGGCTGGTATTTATGGCTTCGGTTTGGGGAGCCCCTAGAAGGCTAAGTGCGATTTAGGCATCAAGTGCGGAGATCTTCGGCGTGAACTAATTTCCATAGTGGACCTTAATCAGGAAAAGAACTTACACGAAAATGTTAACGAGGGGATTCTCAGGGAAGACACGTGACTCAGTCTGCAGGCCTCTTCTTTCAATCACCTGAATGGCGTTGCTTTGGCTTCGCGGCGTTCACTGTTGCGGGCTGCAGGGTCGCAAGAGCCCAGAGCTACAGTTCACCAGAGCCGCTTCGAAAGTGCACAACAGTGCAGAAGCAGGACTCTCGACTCGAAACACCCCCGCGCCCTAAACATTATGAAGCTAACCTCTAGATTAAACCCAAAAGCCCGGAACTCTACACCCTCAAACCCTCCAAAAGGAACTTCGATGGCCTCCTTGGCCCCCTTCGTGCGACGACCTCCGGTCCGAAGTCTCCAGACTCCACATTCACACTCGCGACCCTAAACCCCAAAACCCTAAACTCCAAGCTACTAAGCCCAACAGGCCCCCAAAGTTATGGCACCCAAAATCCTTCATGCCTTCTTACGGAGCATCTCGTTCTCCTGCTGCATGGCCTCAGCTCATGCGCTCCCGTGTCAAGGCTTGGAAAGCGTTGAAACTTTTTGGCTAAAGTGTAATGCAGGGGCTTGGCTTTGCTAGCTAGAATAGGGTTGTGGGGCCCGTTATACTGTAATCATAATAAGGAACCCCCAAAACCCTATTCTAATCATTAAGGCCCTTATGTTAGAGTTTAGGGTTAAAGCTTATAAGGGTTACGATCACAAAACCTGCAAAATTCTCGAATGCGGGGCCGCAGACGTTGCGCCCTATAAACTACGGACTAGGACCTCGCAAACCTTCAGGGCTTAGGGTCTAAAGCTTGCTGTAGGATCTCAAAGGGGTTTTTGGTGAGGGGGCTTGGGGCCTACAGGGTTTAAGGTTTTAGGGTTTAGGGTTTAGGCAAAAGAAACAACAACAAGTCCCTGCATTGGACCAACACCCAAAAACGCGCACCACGCCCGTAAGCCTTATAGCCCGTCAAACCCTAATGGCCCTAAGCCATGACGGTCATGAACCTGCAAAACCCGAAACCCCTAGCCCTAAACTCTGAGCCCTACACCCGCAGTCCTAGACCCCAAATGTCTCAGCCCAAGACTATGAAACCGTAAACCCTACAACCTGACTGGGAGGGCCACCGACATGCGCCTCCGGAAATCTTCGACCTTGGAGGAGTGATTGTATGTGCTGTTGGCTGCAGCGTTTGAAGGTGTTGGCTCTACCTGCTGCCTACTCAGGGGAGTACAGAAGGTGTTTATATATATATAGAGTGTATACATAATGCAAGCATTAACATTAAATTTATCAATACATAAACAAATATCATTAACTTCATCAATACATAAACAAGGATATAAATGAATAAGTAAGTATATATACATATGTATAGTATATGTATGTGTATGTGTATGTGTATGTGTATGTGTATGTGTATGTGTGTGTATATATATACATACATACATACATGTGTGTATATATATATATATAGGCCCCACCCACCCTTTCAGGGTCTCTGTAGGGCTGCTTCTCTTTCTTGGTGAGCGTATAGAGTCGATACAGGTTATACACATGCTCACAAATCATGGTCAATCCGACCAAATCCTGACCCCAAGCGTTTGCAACACCCTTAGAAGGAGAAGGGAGGGAGGTTTCAACTTCAGATTTCTCATCCGGAGCGCGACGCTGTCTTTCACGGAGCGTGGAAAAAGACGTCTGGGCAGGTCAAGGAGGGTCCATCCATGGATGGATAGATCGATAGGTAGATGGATAGATACGCGTGTACTTAAATAATATACATATTATGTACATATCTACACATGTGTGTGTATCTATGTAGTTGTAGATATCGGGCTGATGGGACGCTCCTCGTAGCCCGGAAGAACGGCTCCAAGGCCACGGAACTGGACCCGACGCAGGGTCCCGCCCGGCTCGCCAGGGTCAGGGCCTGAGCACCGAGAGCCCCCCCCCCCCTGGTTGCCTTGCTTTCTTGACCTTAAGTTGGGTACTGCCACCCCACGCTGCAACGGTTGAATAAGATTCTTGAATGTGTGTATATATATATACATGTGCAGAAGATCCTTAATAAAAAAAGCCAGATCCTTACCAACAAAAATGGCTGCTTCAAGAAATCCCAGGTTCAGGGTTTAGGGTTTAATGTTTAGGGTTTAGGGTTAGGGGGTTAGGGTTTAGGGGTTAGGGTTTAGGGGTTTAGGGGTTTAGGGAAAAGGATGCACATGTCCGCGGAGATCCTGTGCTGTTGTCTTGCTGACCAACGGATCCTAAAGTTCTACTCAAAATCTATTGTTTCAGGATCCCTAAACCCAAATCCTAAACTAAAGGATCCTAAAGCTCTACTCAACATGCACTGTTTCAGCATCCCTAAGCCTTAAGCCCAAAGGATTGGGTTCAAGATCCTATTGCTGAACTGTTTAGGATCCATGAGCTTGAGTGCTGAGGCCATGGCTCTTCAGCAAACAGGCCGGAGACCTGTCACTCTCTGCCCTCAGGTCCTACAAGGACCTTCCACTAACCTCCCAGGTACCTACTATATAGGGCCCTGGGGGCTCTAGTGGCTTGTATAGTAGGTACCTGGGGGGTTAGGGTTCTCGAATTCAAACGACTTCCAAAACCTCATCCCCTGAGGTCGACTGGAGGATGCGGAGATGGAGCTCCGCGAGCTCCTACGCATCGCACCAAGAATAGTCCTTTCTTCACTTCCCGATTCTGCCTACAGTGAACTCCAGAAAGTTGGAACATGGATTTAGGATGATTAGTGCTGGGATTTCCTTTGCTTTACCTTAACGGCATGAGGAGAATGATGTTCCAACTTTCTGGCTTCTACTGTATATCGACACCCGAAACACCCAGAAGGGATCCATACTGTTTCGACTACTTGGGTGGTCGAATTGAAGCGCCAGAAGTGCCTGAGGCCACCAGCCCAAGGATTGCGAAACTTTGACGTTGCCGACGCCTCAGCGACATTGAAACTCCGACCCAGCTTCGGTTGAGCCATTTTAACATGACATCACAGCGCCCTGGCATTGTAAAGCTACACGCTGCCTATGCTAGTCCCAAGAAGTAGCTCTTGCTCCAAGGGCTCGATATATAATGCCCAAGACGCAATGAGACGGATCGTGGCGTATGCAGTTTGTGGCTGCCAGGCTGGGATACCTGCAGCTGTCGTCAGGATCGTCAGCTCCGGGCTGAGCGGTGTTCTTGTGCCATCGGGCCGTTCATTGTGGTCGCTGTGTGCGCCAGTTGCCGTTAAGAGCGATGCCGTCTAGGCTACGAGCAAAGCAGTACACAGACACACAGACACACAGACACACAGAGACACAGAGACACACACACACACACCCACCCACACACCCACACACCCGCACACGCGCACAGAATCAATGTTTGTGGATTGGAAAGCACACAGCACGAAGAGTTGTGCTTAAAAAATAATGGCTTTTGTTCCTTGCTTCTCCGCCATGGGGTCCACGCCCGGCTGCCATGCCACTGCCGACGACAGAGGCAGCGATGCGAGCCACAGAAGTTCCTGCGAACCAGTCTCAAGTTGCAAAAAATTAACATGCACCTTGCTTTTGGGCAGAGGCGCTGGCACCCAGCAGGCGGTGCATTGCAGTTGCATCGAGCCCTCACACAGGCGAGGAGGATTCGGAAACTCTCAGTGCCTTGGCCCATTCATTCACAGGGTCTCTGTAGCTCAAATCAAACAGCGCTGGGCGCGCAAGAAGTGGACTAGGTTTCAGCGTCCACGTCCTACGCGGCCTGGCCTTTCGGCTTGGTCCGGGACCTGCCGAGCTTCGAGGACAGCTGCTTATGCTGCTGCCGGTGAAGATTCGGGAGTTTCAGACACAGAAGTTTCACTTACGGACCCACATATGGACCCAGACCAGTTGGATAATTGTTATATGGAACACTCAATCACTTGCCAACCGGCCTATGACCACATGCCTCGCTTGGATTGTCCGAGTGTGAGCGCCGACATTATGTGGCCAGCTTCATGAAGAGATCCCCATATGTGGGAGCTGTAGCATGGGCCCACTGCATGAAGCAGTCAAAGAGTCACCAACACAACTCTTTCCCAGTGGCGCTCCTGGCGACAGAGTAGCTACCGCATCTGGAAGGACGTGAGGGCTTATTGTTCCCATTACGACCATTGCTTGTATTATCATTATCACGATTATACTAATTATGAGAAAATTAACGCTGCACAGCCCGCCTCGGCTCGACAGTGCAGCAGCCCCTCCCGGGCAGCGGCTGGAACGAAGGGAGAGGACAGGTCAAGGAGGGGCTAGCCGGGGCGGGGGGTCGACAATGTGCCCAAAAAACGCATGTCAATGTCGGGAGGAGGTTAGGTCTTAGTTTAACCCTCAAGGCGCCGGAGGGGGATAATCTCCGCTGGAGCATCTTCTTACCCAACCTTCCGTCGTTTGGGGGCGGCAGGCAGGGAGCGGGTGGCGTGGAGGGGTGGGGGGGAAGGGGGGCAAGGGCCGGCTGGAGGAGAATGGCAGGAAAAGCGATGAAAACTGTTTGGAATTGGCCAAAATGTGTGCCCGAAAAGCGCATGTCAGGTGAACCCCAAGACGCGGCCTCGGCGGATTACTGCTAGAATTTCACTCTTCTTGTTATAATTGTGAGCACTATTGTCGTTCTTACTACGATTAGTATTATTCTTCTTCCTATATTTCCTATATTTTTCTTCCTACTGTTCCTGTTCAGTTTCACGCTTGCAGGACTACCTTTCGCAGCGCCGCAAGGCCATGGACACCGGCCCATTCACAGGCGCCCTGATGATGCGCATGGACGCTACGGCTAGCCTTGAGTTGACACATCTTCACTCCACCAGAACAAATTCTCACCCGCTGCTGTTGCTGCTCAAAACGAGTCAGGCAGGGAGGGCTGTACCGAGTCTCTTGTCATTTCGGCACCTTCTTGATGGCTAGCGTCGAGTCATTTGCCGATCCCAGTTTTGTGTGGGAGCCCTCGGAGCCCGAGCACTGGTCGCTGACCGAAGCTGGCAAGGGGCTGCGAGTCCAGCCAACAGCAAAGAGGGACTTCTGGAGTCGGACCTTTTACAAGCCCCTGCTCATCAAGCATGACGGTCAGGTCTTGGTGTGTCCGGTGGCTGACTCCGAGGCAACCATGTCCTTAGCTTTCACCCTGCACCCCCGAGCACAATTTGATCAAGCTGGTGCCATGGTGATTGTGGATGAGCTCACCTGGATCAAAGCCGGCATCGAGTTTTGCGATGGCGTGCCCAGGCTGTCCTGCGTGGTCACAAACCAGGGGTTCTCTGATTGGAGTACACAGCAGTGGCCCCACTGGGATGGCTCCAGCACCTCCTTGCGCCTCCGTCTCCACCGGGAACTCCCTGGACCGGAGCAGGGGCCGGCCGTGGTTGTGGAAGCTGCACCCTGGCACCCAGGAGACACTGCAGCAACCCCGGCGGAATTTGCTTTTGTGCGCATTGCGAGCTTCCGAAGCGAGGGCAAGCCATGGAAGATGGGAGTGTTTTGCTTTGCGCCGACTGAGCAGAAGGGTTGTGAGACCAGCTTCCATTACTTTAACATAGGTAGCAAGATGAAAACTGCCCATGATTCAGATCCGTCTGCGGGGGCTTGATCCGCATTCGGTCTGCCTAAGATACGATCAATCCGAAGTGCCTGCCTGGTGAGAAAACAAGCAGAGCCGCACGTCCAACCTGATAGCACTACCCGCTTGTGAGAAAGCCGGGCTTTTTCGGCTTGCATACTCTATACTATGCTATGCTATGGGATGGCGTGAGCACAGGCCTGCCAAGACACGCCGAGCGGGTCCTGGTTGTGGTCGAGATGCGCGAACACGAGGAGCAGAGCTAGGTTCCGAGCAGATTCCCAACAAGACGCCATTTGGAGGTTTTGTGCAAAGGGTGGTGTGTGGATGTGTGTGTGTGTGTGTCTGTGTGCCCCCACAAGGCACAAGCTGTACCGGAAATCTCTTCAACAATGATTTGGGCACGAGGATATCCTTTCATGTGCAGTGCATGCCGGTCAGTATAACTGCAAGCCGACAGTCCTGCGATAAGCCCAACGACATAGTCGAGCACAGATTCACGACCGCAGTTTGAGTAAAGGCGAACATGCATTCCTACTCGGGTGCACTTTTCGGCAATTGTGCTGGAGCATTGCAAGGGCATCACTACAGAACTGCCGTTTGAGAAAGACGTCCCAGCACCAAAGTAAACCATGTGACCTGAACTGGCAGCGTGCCCCCATTATAAACCTTGTTTGGGCAGCTCCATCTCTCATGATGCCAGGGCATCCTCCACTGAGAACCCCGGTGCTGGGATCATGGATCACTGGGATCCACCCTGCCACGAATATGCACCGCTTGAAAACCCACAATTGTGGTCAGAGAATGGTCATCGCAATGAGCTGGGCCTTTTGTATGCATGCGGCGCCACAGGAAGCTTGGGATTGGCGAACTCTACAGCATTCACAAGAGCTTTCTGAGGGTATGGGCCTCCTCCAAGACTGCTGACATGTCCATGTCTGTATGTGTACCTATATGTATACATATTTTATGTACCCACACATATGAATAAACATACGCACCTGCCTGGGGATGCACCAGCGCAGGACCTGGAGGTGGTACTCCGCTCCAGCATACGTTTGCTCGAGCCGCGCGGTCTGGCTGCATTTGTTGTGCTTGAAAAGACGTCGACTCGACAGGTCCCTGTCAAACTCAGCTGTAGGTACGTGGGCTCTTCTTCTGGTTTGTGGCGAGCGGAACAAGACCTTCGTCGAGCAGATTGTGAAGAGACTTGCCTCTGGATGTTCTTGAAAGCCTCGCGGCAGACGCCGGAGTCACAACAACAGGTGGATCAGTGGTGGAAGTACGACATACTGTTGATGATCTAAATCCTGCATTACCTTAAGGACCCTAAACTATGGGAATTATGGTATATTCCTTATTATGGGTAATGCAGGATTTTTTTATCAACCGTAAGTCCAAGGCTTCGTGGGGCTCGCAGCTTTGCTTGTTGTTTAGCTTGTGACTCAGTGAGACTTCTCGACGCTGATGCCATCACGGCACCTGGCATCCGAGGAGGTGGTCCTTTGTTCACCTTCATTGCCTGCCGATCTCCAACTTCAGCCGCGAAGGGTACGCCAACTTCCGCAGATCTCAGGATACTCGCTTGCTACCTTGGACATGAACATGAGATGGTGTGAGATTTCATCCCGGCCATGAGGAGTTGCTGTCCTGGATCGAGGGTGCTGGTGGCAAGCTGGCACTTTTCCTGGAAGCTCTGCAAGTTTTGTTAGGGGGATGGGCACCTTGACCCCCCCCCGTTGTCATGCCGTGCCCGGAGGAATGTGACTCTTTGCTTCTGCGCTCTGGCGTCGAAAGCTGCCTGACTTCAGAGTGATACGGTTGATGATATAAATCCTGCATTACCCATAATAACGAACATGCCATAATTCCCATAGTTTAGGGTCCTTAAGGTAATGCAGGGTTGATATCATTAACAGTAGGAAGGAATCGGGCAGCTGGGATCCTGATGTGGAGCTAGATCGTAAGATCTAACAGAGGCTACTGCAGCTATGACCTGGTTGGAGCACCCTGGAGCTGGGAAGAGGAGCCTTTTTTTTCTCGGAGAGCGCAGTAGGCAAGGGTCAGATAAGCTGTGCGGGACGCCTTGGTTGAGACTACCGGGTCAACGCTCGGACAAACCATGTCAGCAAAAGTCTTGCCACAGGATGCAACCTGTGTTGGCAACGGCGGCTTGTCTATCAGGCATCCTGCCTTCGCCACTCGCCACTGTCTTTTTGCTGAACAGAGCTGTCCATGGTTCATGACAAGCAACCTGCGTCTTCATGGGTCCTGAGTCGACCCCGTGTCAGAGCCGTCATGGCTGTCTTTCAAAGCCTCGCCAGGCGTTGCGAGTTCCTTCGCGCCGCTTTAGCCCACATGCAGGCATGTCCACCTTTGGGGGCCATGGGCCATGGGCTTTTGAACTCCAGGGCCCATCCTGACTAAATTGCTGCATGCGATGCGATTCAACGAGCTTGGCTTGTGATTGGCAGGCAACGTGTGCCGGTGAGGTGGCAAGCCCCTGGCCTTCTCGAAACGAGTCTGGGCACCACAAGGGGGTTTCGGCGACCATGGGGATATCGATGCAGGACATCAGTTTGTTTCGTTCGATGCCCGCCGAACCTCTCCAAGCACAGGGGTTGCTCCGAGACAGCCGCGCTGAGGAAGACATCTGCTTCGCTCGAGCAGCTGCGGACCTGGCGGCAGACGTTCCTTCCCGGAAGGCCAGCATTGCAAGTGCAGCTCCCTGTGGTGTTTGCAAGTCCCAGCAGGTGGCGCAAGAATTCTCGGTGACCTGGCATGATGGCGACTGTCCCACAGGTTCTGTGTTGCTGACATGTCCGCGTCGATTGACCTTTGTGTTGTCCCGCGCGGAGTATTACAGGGGCCTAAATATTTACCCAAACTATGTTGGAGGTTTCCTGATTCTAATAATTAACAGTATAATGTACCCAACACCCTATTCTAATTATTAAGGCTCCTCCTATGTTAGTGAGGTGGAGACCATTTACCATCCGGCTCCCATCGGCTGCCACAAGCCGTGGCAATATCTGCTGCCGTCGGATATGTCTCCTGGCGCCTTCATGGTTGGTTCAGGGTTTAGGGGCTTAGGGGAAGCCGTCGGAGCTTGATTCACAGTCTTCAAGATAGCTGATCCAGGCAACGATTGCTGCAGATTTGGGAGCCGGCAGACTGAGGCTTCAATGCCAGCTTTGTGTTAGCTTGATGCAAGCTTTGTGTGAACTTGCATGCGTGTCGGGCGCGCGTCACTGCCTGGCCTTTGGGCTTGTTCACCTGGCTCGTAGAGTGCAATTTTGACTCAAGCCGCGAGCCTGCTCCTCATTTTAGAAGACAATGGCTGGCGAGGCAGGAAAGGCCCGAACCGTGCTTCTGGCCACAGAGAAGGCGTTTGCTGCTGGGGCCGTTGGGAAGATTGAAAGCGTGGTCAAGGAGGCAAACTACACCTTGAAGAAGCTGGAGAACTACAAGAGCAAGGATGACCTGCTCGCAGCGGTGGCTGATGTCGATGCCATGATCATCCGAAGCGATATTGTGGATCAGGCGGTTTTGGACAAGGCGGACAAGCTCAAGATTGTTGTTCGAGCCGGTGCTGGCTACGACAACATTGACCTCAAGGCTTGCGAGGCCAAGAGCATCACGGCCATGAACACACCTGGCCAGAATGCCAATGCAGTAGCGGAGCTCGTATTCGGCATGATGATTGTCAGCGCTAGGAACAATTTTGATGGCACCAGCGGCTTCGAACTTGTCAACCGCGAGATCGCCTTCTACGGCTTTGGAGCCGTTGCCCGCGCCGTGCACAAGCTGGCTGTCGGCTTCGGCATGAAAAGCTTCGCATACGATCCTTACATTCCTGCAGACAAGATTAAGGAGATGGGCGCCGAGCCCGTTTCTTCGGTGGCAGGGCTCTTTGACCACCAGTATGTCTCCCTGCACGTGCCTCTGACTGATGAGACCAAGGCGTCCATCAACAAGGAGCCACCGCTCAATTGGTGTGGTGGGATGGAAGCCGCCTTCGTCCTAGGTCGTCGTAGGTAGTCCCAGCAACTGCCCTACACCCTAAACCCTGGCTAAGTGGGGGGGGAAAAAAGCCCTACAGTAGTTGCTACGGTCAAATTGTTGATTGTTTGCACGAGTTGCAGGATGAGAATCTTCATATAGAGGGAAATCGGCAGAATCGGGCAGAGCACGGGATAATACGAGCCTACCAGGACCCTCCCGGTACAGTACCCTCAAATAGGGGTACATGGTCCCAAATAAGGGTAATTAGGGTCTAATAGGGGGTATATGGAGGGTCTAGGTAAGCCTCAAGCATTCAGCTCACAAGATTTCAGCTGTGACTCATATCGCAAAGCTCCAGCAACAGATTCTGTTTGGCCAGGCAAATGTCAACTAGTTCAACAAATTTCAACATGCTGAATTGAAGTTCCTAAATCCTATAGTCCTGTACTATACGGCTTTGGAGTTCCTAAATCCTATTGGCCTAAAGCCGTTTGAAGCCCTATACATTCCGACAAACCCTTACAGCATCTGGCGCAGGAGTTGCTCATGAAGATGCCTAAGGGCGGTTCCCTCATCAACACAGCACGCACCGAGGTGGTTCACGAGGCACGAGGAACGGTTCATGGCATGGCATGGAAGTCTCCGAATATCTCCGAGTGAGCTGCCCAAGATGTCATGACTCTGCATCAAAGCTAAACTCCACAGCTGTTATCCCTACACCAAAGAACTACGGTTGATGATATAAATCCTGCATTATCCATAATAAGGAATTTGCCATAATTCCCATAGTTTAGGGTCCTTAAGGTAATGCAGGATTTATATCATCAACAGTGTTATGCTGGTTCGCTACCTGGACAGACCTCTAGGACCATGAACATGTCTGGCCTGGAACGAGTGCAAGGGCGGAAACCATGACAGTCCCTGCAGAACCCGGAGCCTTTGCTGTACTGCACATGCTTCTTCGATCAGGCTGACATGATCGAGGTCCTGAAGACACGAACGGACTTTTGCTACCTGTGCGACGT